CATCTAGCCTGTCAAATCCCATAAGAATCTTATATGTTTCAATATGAATATTTTTCAATCTCATTCTTCTAAACTCCAATGAGTACAGTACTGAAGCTCTCCTCATAAATCCCTCCCTATCTGGGATCAGCCAACTGAACCTTCTCTGGTCAGCCTCCAATGCCAGTACACCTTTCCTGAGGTAAGGCTCCCAAAACTGACTAGTGCTTTGTACAGTTTTAGCAAGACCTACTTTTAAACTCCATTCCCTTTGAAAGAAAGGTTAGCATTAAATTTGCCTTCCCTATCACCCACTGAATCACTATGCTAGCTTTTTGTGGTTTATGCACAAAGACTCCCAAATCCTTGTTGCTTTCTGCAGTCTTTCTCCATTTAAATAATGTTCAGCTCTTCTACTCTTCCACACAACATAACCTCATTTTCCCACAGATCATCTATTGTGCCAACATCCCTCAAACAACATCACATTACAGAATGCTGTTGTGAGAGCTTCTTGTGCACAATTTGGTTAGTGCATTTCTACATTACAGAAGTGACCACAATTCAAAAATATTTGATTGGCTGTCAAATACTGTGGTCACAAATGGAACCACATAAATGCAAGTCCTTTGCTTCAAAGATGCTCTGATGCCATGCAACTTTACCCGCTGACTGCATATTGTGCTCACCAGTCATTAATCCTTTGGAGAATCATTCCTCTGGTTTTCGTGTCCACCATTCTGGAAGAATGTAACTTGCGGTTAACTCATGGGGGACCTACATGCCATGATTAATATCCATGAGGAGATTATTAAATCTGAATGGATTTAGGGCCAGTCATACCACTTTAGATGTTTGACAAATGGTTTTCTAATTATGATGTATGTGTGTTAAACCTATAAAACCTAGAAATTTTTTTTTAACAAAAACATACAAAATTTAGCAAGTAAATTCTGTAGTTTTCTTTGCCGTGCTGACAAAATGCAGTTCAGTATTACAACAAGTGAAGAAATATAGATTGAACTGACATTGTAGCGGCTGGAAGACCAGCTGGACCCATAAGCCTACCCGTGGAATTTTGTTTTTATTACTGCAGGTGGATACAGCTTTGCATAACAGTAATTTGTCATTTGATCTATACCTTTTAACCTGTTGCTAGGCATTGCGATTTGCTCCCTGCAGTTCCCTCGGTCTTGTATCTGATCAGAATGCTCTATCATTGTCCTATACAATGCTTATAATCTCCTTTTTAAAATGCATATTTGTGGGGCTGCTGAAAAGGCTTATTTTCCATTATCCATTTCTAATTTTCCCAGGAAAGAAATGCTGGGTCTTCTGTCTGGACAACTCTTAGGATGAGGTGTTAGGTGTGGAATTCTAGGCCAGATATAAAAAGATGTATGAAATTCTTATCAGAGGTGATTTTGCTGAAAAATATATTTTCTGAATTATATATTATTAATCTATATAATTTATTCAAAACAGAAGTCAACACTCAAATTCAATTTGACTTTCTTGACATAAAAATGACAATTTTGAAAAAAATGTGTATGTAAATAAGTTTATACTTAATAAAAAAAATGACAATTTAATAAAAATGTGAATGTGAGGTTTATAATATTCATTAAAAAACAAATTTAAAAAAAACATAAATGTGATGGTGCTGATATTCATGAAAAACAAACACCAATTTGAAAAGAATGCAAACTGAAGAAGTTTAAAAGATTTGCTGAAAAACAAATGACCATTTAGAAAAAGTCAGAAGTCACATGACACCAGGTTACAGTCTAACAGGTTTTATTGAAATCACAAGTTTTTGGAGCACAGTCCCTTCGTCAGGTGCAGGGAGAGAGAAGCACACACAGACACAGAGTTTATAGGCAGATAGGTCAAAAGATCATACTACTGGGGTGAGTGGAATATAAGAACACTACAACTACATGCTGGTCCAACCAAAGAACACACCCGCCAACTCAACAGAGTGATCAGGACTTTTGATCCTGACCTTCAGAGCATCCTGTGCACCCTCCTGTGTATTTCTCGCACAGGAGACTTCTACAGCCTTCCGAAGATACACAAAGCCAACACACTTGGACGTCCCATCGTATCAGGCAATGGGACCCTGTGTGAGAACCTCTCTGGCTATGTTGAGGGCATCTTGAATCCCATTGTACAAGGAACCCCAGCTTCTGTCGCGAAACTACAGATTTCTTATAGAAACACAGCACCCACAGACCAGTTGAACCAGGAACAATCCTCGTCACAATAGATATTTCAGAACTCTACACCAGTATCCCCCACGATGACGGCATCATTGCAACAGCCTCAATACCACTGACTGCCAATTTCCAGATGCCAACTTTCAACTCATTCGCTTCAACCTTGACCACAATGTCTTCACCTTCAACAACCAGTTCTTCATCCACACACATGGAGCAGCCATGGGGCCCACATTTGCACCCCAATATGCCAACATTTTCATGCACAAGTTTGAGCAAGACGTCACTGCTGTGCAGGACCTCCGACCAAAGCTATATGCCAAATACGTTGACGACATTTTCCTCCTTTGGACTCATGGCGAGGAATCACTGAAACAAATACATGACAACTGCATAGCGATATCAACAAGTTTCATCCCATCATTAGATTTACCATGGCCTACTCTTCAGAATCAGTCTCATTCTTGGACACACGCATCTCCATCAAGGATGGACACCTTGGTACCTCACTCTACCGCATGCCTATGGATAACCTCACAATGCTGCACTTCTCTAGCTTCCACCCTAAACATATTAAAGAAGCCATCCCCTACAGACAAACCCTGCACATACGCAGGATCTGCTCAGATGAGGAGAAACGCGATGGACTCCTAAAGGTTTTGAAGGACACCCTCATAAGAACAGAATACGCTGCTCAACTCATTGATCACCAGTTCCGACATGCTACAGTGAAAAACTGCAACAACCTCCTCAGAAGACAAATACAGGATACGACCAATAGAGTATCCTTTGTCGTCCAGTAATTCCCCGGAACAGAGAAGCTACGCCATGTTCTTTGCTGCCTTCAACATGTCATTGATGATGATGACCATCTGATCAAGATCATCCCCATGTCTTCAAACAACCGCCAAACCTTAAACAGGCCATTGTTTGCAGCAAACTACCTAGCCTTCAGGACAACATTGACCACAACACCGCACAACCCTGCCATGGCACCCTCTGCAAGACATGCCAGATCATTGATAGGGACACTACCATCACACATTGGAATACCGCCCACCACGTACACGTCAGATACTCATGTGACTCAGCCAATGTTGTCTATCTCATATGCTGCAGGCAAGGATGCCTAGAGGCATGGTACATTGGTGAGACCATGCAGATGCTACGACAATGGACGAATGGACACCATGCAACAATCGCCAGACAGGGGTGTTAACTCCCAGTGGGGGAACACTTCAGCGGTCAAGGACATTCAGCCTCCGATCTTTGGATAACCGTCCTCCAAAGCAGACTTTGAGATATACAACAACGCAGAATCACCGAGCAGAAACTGACAGACAAGTTCCATACCCATGAAGACATTCTCAACTGTGATCTTGGGTTCATGTCGCACTACATGTGACCTGACTGTACTGTTCTATACCTGTAAAATCTTCCTTACTGTCCTGATCGACAGCATCACCTTGATAAATTTTTATGATCTTTCTACCTTAATTAGTTTGTACAGTTTTGAATTACTTATTACTTTGGTTAGACCCTCAGCATGTGACTCTTATATCATTCATGTTATTCCAGCACCACCTTATTTTTAATTTTTTGTAATTATCTCTCTGCCTCACTTAATTAAATTATAGGTCATCCTTTTGCTGGTTATTTAGCTGTTGACACTTTACTCACTGTCTAACACTCTTGATCACCTGCAGAGACTTATTGTCTGACACTCCACTCACAAAAGTTCTATGATCTTTTGAATTCTCTGCCTATAAACTCTGTGTCTGTTTGCTCTCTCTCTCACTGCACCTGACGAAGGGGCTGTGCTCTGAAAGCTTGTGATTTCAAATAAACCTGTTGGACTATAGCCTGGTGTTGTATGACTTCTGACTTTGTCCACCCCAGTCCAACACTGGCATCTCCACATCATTTTAAGAAAGTTAAAGTGCAGTTTACAAACTTCATTAAAAATATAATTTGAAAAGGAACTTGAACATGAAGGAGGTTGCAAAATCATTAAAAACAAACTACAGTTTTAAAAAGAATGAACATAAAAACATTAACACGTGAATGTGAATAGGTGTACAATCTTTATTTTAAAATTCGATCAGATTTAGTAGTTTGGCTCATTCCATTAGCATCTTCATGTGAAAGCCTCATATAAAACAAAGAATTGCGGACACTGGAGTGCTGAAACAAAAGCAGAAATTGTTGCAGGAACACAGCAGGTCAGGAGTCATCTATGGAGAGAGAGAAAACAGAATGAATGTTTCAAGTTCAATGACCCTTCTTCAGAAAGTGAAAGCCTGAGATTTGCTCTGACTTGTCTTGACAGGTACACACACACGTGCGCAATTGACGCCCTGTGACAACTACAAGTTGGCTCCTGCTACAAAACAAGAGCGCACGGCGCCTGCGCGTCCTGACACTCTCCATTGGCGATCTCCGCAAGCTCCGGCCTCTCAGATTGGAAACCCGGTAACATCACGTGCCATCTGAGGGCCACTCGGAATGTTGCATGGGCGGGCCGCACCCCCCCCAAATCGGACCTGCCCCCCACGTGGGCCGGCGCCGCTCACTGGGGACAGTCTGTCGGCTTGTGCCCCGCCCCCCCACCCCCACAGAGAGGATTGGTCGAGGTTTACACCGCCTGTCCCGCCCACCCACCACCTCTGCGGCTTCTGAATGGAGAGGCCAGAGTGTCAAGCAGGGAGATGCATCCAATGGGGTAGAGGAGGGTGGGTGGGAGGCGTGGACCGTTGGCTGGGGCTCGCGCCGGCGTTCGCTCGCAGTTTGAAAGCTGAAGGGAGCGAGCGGGAGCTGAGGGGGGAAAGGAGAAAGTTATGTGACTGGTTTTCGATAAAAATAATCATAAAAACTCTATTATGTCCGCTCAAAATGGGACAGAATATGCAGGAAGGGGAATAAAAGACACTTAATATAACTGTTCGGTTTCCCCTCCCTTTTGCTGTTTTTAAAAATAATCATATTTTTTTCCCTGAGGGGATAAGGGAGGGAGGGAACAGCCTCCATTTCCATTACAAACATGGCGGCCTGCAGCAGCGGCCGGCTCGGCTTCTTCACCCTGCCCGCCTTCAGCGTGAGCTGCTGCTGCCTCGTCCTCCTGCTCTTGTCGAGCCTGAGCGGGCGGGCGGCCGCCTCCGACGAGGGCGACACGGTCATCATCGGCCTGAGGCTGGAGGACACGGACGAGGTGACGGGCATGGGGGACGGCGTGCTGCGGGTCAGCGAGCGGACGCGGGTCCGGCTGCGGCTGTACGGCCAGCGAATCGACAACAGCACCTGGAGCCGCATCGGCTTCACGGAGCACCGGCGGACGGCCGACGACGCGGCCGGCTTCGACCCGTGCGGGGTGCGCACCTCGGACATCGTGGTGCTGCCGGGCGTCGCGGTGAGCCGTCGCAGCACCGGCGTCATCGAGATGGAGGTGAAGCCACTTCGCAAGACGGAGAAGAGCAAAGCCTACTACCTGTGCACGGCGGCCCGGGCTCCGGAACCGGGCTCGGGGCAAGCCGACTGGCTGTACCACGACACCGAGGACACCATGGTGGTGGTGGTGGAGGAGAGGAAGTTCCTGTTGCCCTTCTGGCTGCAGGTCATCTTCATTTCGGTGCTGCTTTGCCTGTCGGGCATGTTCAGCGGCTTGAACCTGGGGTTGATGGCGCTGGACCCCATGGAGCTGCGGATCGTGCAGAACTGCGGCACCGAGAAGGAGAAGAACTACGCCAAGCGCATCGAGCCGGTCCGCCGCCAAGGTAACTACCTGCTCTGCTCGCTGCTGCTTGGCAACGTGCTGGTCAACACCACGCTGACCATCCTGCTGGACGACATCGCCGGCTCCGGGGTGGTGGCCGTGGCCGTCTCCACCATCGGCATCGTCATCTTCGGCGAGATCGTCCCGCAGGCCATCTGCTCCCGCCACGGCCTGGCGGTCGGCGCCAACACCATCGTGCTGACCAAGTTCTTCATGCTGCTCACCTTCCCGGCCTCTTACCCGGTCAGCCGCCTGCTGGATGTCATCCTGGGCCAAGAGATCGGCACCGTCTACAACCGCGAGAAGCTGCTGGAGATGCTGCGGGTCACCGACCCTTACAACGATCTGGTCAAGGAGGAGCTCAACATCATCCAGGGCGCCCTGGAGCTCCGGACTAAAACGGTGGAGGACGTGATGACCCCTCTGCGAGATTGCTTCATGATCACCGGCGACGCGATCCTGGATTTCAACACCATGTCCGAGGTCATGGAGAGCGGATACACCAGGATCCCCGTGTACGAAGGCGAGCGGTCAAACATCGTTGACCTACTTTTCGTGAAGGACTTGGCATTTGTGGACCCCGACGACTGCACCCCTCTGAAAACCATCACCAAATTTTACAACCACCCCTTGCATTTTGTTTTTAACGACACGAAGCTGGATGCAATGCTGGAGGAGTTTAAAAAAGGTGGGAAAATGTTGTTTATGTTTCTGTTTTTCCCCTTGCTGGTCAGGCTACATACCTCAGTTCTTTTTGCATGAGTTTGTGTTGTCAACCTATAGCAGCGCAACTCTAACTGAAAACACGTTCTGCACATCTTAAAACAGTTAGTATAAAAGTGGTTACCACCTATATATTTATGTTCACCTGTAAATGTTTCGTTGACACACTCACTTTCTCCCAATGTACAGCCAACCGCTGCCATCAGATTCATTAGGTAGCTTACCTCTGACGTCTTTTCTATCCTCCCCGACTTCCAACATCTTGAACTACAGTCATGTTTCGACAGTGCAAAAGAATAACCCCTACAGAATGGTGTTGTTTTTCAGTTTCTCTTTGTTGGCGGGGCGGAGGGTGGGGGCGAGAGCAGAATCTAAGTTATGATATTTTTGTAAACCATAAATAATATCCTTTCTGTTAAATATAATGTGTACTCAACACTGTTCATAATATTTAATAAACTTGTCTACTATTCATGAGACTTTAAGATGTGTCGCAATGTAAAATTTGATAACTCAGTGCTTGTCTGTGTACAAGATTGTAAGGACTCCGCTTGAGACTCTTTCTGGCTGTTGCCATGCCATTGGTTTGCCAACATTTTAAAGACTTTGCATTCCAATGCATGTAAATATAAGTATAATGTGATGAGACAATGGTGTCAGTTTTTTATTCAACATCTTGCTATGTTCTTGGTACAACTTTTTGTTAAGCCTACTAAGATTAGTTTAGCAAATGTTTTTAAGAAAATAGTTGTTTGCTCTCAAATTTGGTGATCTGTACCAAAAAGTACTTGTAGATGATGGATGTGTCTGGCAGGATTTATTTTCTTACTGATTGTAATCTATATGCTATGTAGAAAAGTCCATGTGACTTGCCTCAGATGCATGGAAATGGAATTTAAAACACACTGAAGTGTCAGAATACGTAGTGCTTTAAGGCAGCAGTATAATGACTGAAATTTCCAAATTGTGATTTCTAGAATTTTTATTTACCATTGCATGGGGCTTATTTTTGCCATATCTCTGATAGTGGGAATTTTTGATATGTTAGGCTGCTGTGTGATGACGTGACCAGTGGAGTCAGGTGGTGTAGAAGTAAAAGAGCAGAATTTAAAATTGCTCCCCAGCTTGCTGAAGTGGAGAAATTGACTTGTGAAGTCAGTACAAATATGTGCATTAGAAAGTAAAGAACGTATAGCCCAGTTAGCTTTGTTTGTTCTTTTATGACTAATACTTTTATTTACATCTTTAATCGAGAATTAATTGCTTTAGGTATTGTCCCAAGATGTACTCCGAACAAAACATCACTGTTCAAAGAATCAGCTTCCAGTTTTATTCATGTGCCCCAAAAAATGCAGTTTTGCAACATTCTTTGACTGATATTGCATAAATGTTGGTGTAATTGGTGAAGTTTAACCCATTTCTTTGAAATGATTTCAATATGTTTGAGGTTTACTACAAAATGATACAAGTGACTTTTTTTCCATCTTTCCAACTATATTTTCAGACACCTTTGATTTGTATAAAGCTTTGAACTATACTATTCATCTCTGTGCCTGAAAATCCTTATATTTTGAAATGCTTTGGATGTGTGTCAGTAAATAACAGCATGCATTAACCGGGTGAGGATTTTTCCTTAGGTCAAGCATGGGGCAATGGATGGCATTTGTGCAGCATATGGTTTCTAATAAAGTTTTTGGCTTTGGGATATTTGGAACTCTGCTTAATGATTCTAAACTAGTAAGGGCTGGATACATTTTGTGGAGCGAACGGGTAAACTGTCAACTTAAGAATAGTTAGTGCTTCACTAGCTGCAGATGGAGATTTGTTTTTACCAAGTTAGGCTGATGCATGTTCCAGAAGCAGGTAATGTGAGGGGCCATAGTCATGGATCCTGAACTCACAAGTACTCACTACTAGCAGTAAGAGCTACTTTGGTGTGACCAACCTCTATGCTTGCTTTACCTTGTCTTGACTCCAGAATTAGCTCATTAATAGGAACACTCTATCTAGATTCCATAAGCTGCTATTATATGTTTATTTGCTTACTTTGACATTATTGATTTGAAAATGGCTCTGTCCACTGGAAGTATAGTAGAGCCTTGGAAGTAGAACGGCACCTGAATTTTTTAAGAAGTTCTTGTTATTTAGTTTGTGAATTGTTGACCAGCTGAAAAGAAATGAGCAGACACGGATACGTCTTTGCCAGCTCATTGCAGCATCTTTTTTGGGTAGGCAGTGATTTAGAGAGCAATTCCAGAAGCTTATAGTTGTGTCACAGCAGACTGAAATTCAGGAATGTAATTAATGAGAGAGTCAATCTTCAGATCACTGGGCATAAAATATATTGATGTTTCCTTTATTTTGTTGGATAATTTGATTTGATGTCTGAGACACTGGTACAACTTCATAACCTCGTCAGAAGTTCTATTGAAAAATATTTTCGTAGGCAGAGATTCCCTGCATTTGTTCTATCCTTAAGGTTCTAAGTTAAGCTGTGACAGCATATCTTCCTGTTGGGTTTTCCCTACCCAAAGTTTTTAGTAATTAGTAAAGGGTTTTCATCTTTATAATACAGATTTGCACAATAATTGGACATGCATGGTAGATTCAGTTCTGCTTATATGTTAGATAAGAGGGTAATGAAATCTCGTGTCGAACATTAGGTTTGTACTTGGCTATTTGGGGTCCGTCGTTGTTACTGTGAAATGTGATGGGTAAAGACAATGGAGCAGATTTTGGGGCCTCTCACCAGGTGAATATTTGGATGGTACATCTTAAGTCTTATGGTGGTGCAATGAAAATGCTGATCAGGAACAGTGCCTTGCTTCTGTCATCACTGTGGCTGCAGTAATTCTCTTAGGTGTCTCCTGCAGAGTGCCTCCCTGCGCCATTGTTCACGTGAATCTGTGTTCTTGGACTGATTTGACATTTAGCAGGAGATATCCAGCTTGGTCTTTCCAGTGTAATTAATTACCCATTTGCAGAAGGCCCTACCAGATATGCTCTGTTTAGTTTTGTTGAGCTGGCAGGTGCAGAAATTCTGCACCATGCCCTGTAGAAGTATTGTGGCGGGTCACATTGCCATGCCTTGCTGCTGCTCTGCCAACCACGTCATGCTAGCCTCTCGCTGTTTGAACAGGTGGCAGGCCTGTGCTGTACACTGGCTTTATAAGTCAGAATTTACCTCCATATGTTTTGTTTAAGCAACACTGTAGTTCAAGAAGCAGCAATGTTCTGTGATTGCTCAAGAGGGCAATAGTGAGTTTGGTCACATAATATGTCATCTGTATTGAATAATTTAATTTGTATTCCTTTGGGTTGTGCTCTGAATATGCACATCTATTGCTACATAAGGTTTAAATTAAGTCCAAGAAAGGAAATGAATAAGTATATTTTGGCCTAGTTAGGAGACTGGTAGAGGCATACCTATTGGTTTTCACTGAGGAAGGATGAAAAAAGTATTTTGCACCATTGTATGTATGTACATAAGCTTAGAAAAGAAAGAAACTAAGGTTTATATAGCTTTCTTCTTCACCCATCCTAGTTAGCCCGAAAGTGCTTTATGGTCTATGAAGTACTGAAGTTTAAGGTCCCACACAGTGTAAAAAGATAAATTACTATTTAAGACTTAGTTTATTATAAAAATGTTGGCTAGAATGGTGGGCAGAACTCTCTTGCTATTCTTTGCATAGTGCTGTAGAATTATTTGTATCTGCCAGAGAATCAAGATCGCCACTCAGTTTAATGTCTTTTTGAAAATTTGGAACCATAGTTTTAAAGTGAGTGGAGGTAGATATCGGGGAGACGTCAGAGGTAGGTTCTTTACTCGGAGAGTGGTCGGGCCGTGGAATGCATTGTCGGAGAGGGTAGTGGAGTCAGCCTCATTAGGGGCATTTAAATGGCTGTTAGATGGCATATGGATGATAGTATAAGGTAGGGGTGGAGGTTAGATAGACCTTAGGATTAGGGTAAAATTTCGGCACAACATCGTGGGCCGAAGAGCCTGTACTGTGCTGTACTGTTCTATGTTCTATGGCAGTGCGACATGAGCTTGTTCCTGTAGTGAAGTCAGAGCTTAGATTATGTGCTCAAGTCTCTAGAGTGGTGCTTCAATTCATGGCTTGGAGGGAAGAGTGCAGCTGGGTGTTGTTTGAGAGGGAGAGGTATGAATTCTATCTAGTCAATGTAGGGTTTAGTATTTGAATGTTTGTAATGATGCACAGCTTTAAGCTATTGTTTGATAATTCCTTCTGAAATCATTCTTTGAAAGCGAACTTCTGAATACAACTTGTACCTCAAGATTTTGGTTAATTTTTTTGCAGCTTCAGGGCAGGAATTTTGTCCTTAAGATACTAACTTCAAATTCTGTCTCTTTTGTTCTTGTTTTATTTGTCAAAATTATTGTTAATGTAGTGATTCTATTGGTTTTGTAGGAGCTACATAACTGTGCCATTTACTTCAGTAATGAAGCTTGTTCTTTCAGCACATCTTCTGGCAAATCACAGCCTAACTCTGCACTTTGAATATTCCTAATTACTTTGTCTTTTACCTTGCCTGGGTGGGAATTCCTGACAGTATAGCACCCTTTGAATTAAGTTTCTTCCTTTTAATTAAAATTTGTCTTCCAATCCTATTTTGAAATTGTACTCTTGATGAGTCCTATTGTCGTGGTTGGTTCGCTTGCTGAGCTGGTTCGTTCTCCGCAGAGGTTTCATTATCTTGCTGGGTAACATCATCGGTGCAGCCACACACACCGACCAAGTACTGAATTTCAACAGCAACCACCCTGACACACACAAACAAAGTTGCGTGAGAACATTATTTAAATGGGCAACAATATACTGCAGCAACACAGAACTACGCCAAAAAGAAGAGTACCTCTTCCAAGGTTTCAAAGTCAACGGATACCTGAAAAACTGGGTCGGAAGATGCCTATTACACGAAAACACCAGGAAGATACTACAC